CAAATCGAGAGATTCCTGTATTTAAATATTAGTAATATTTTGCTGATTTACAGTAAAAAAAAATAAAAAAAATGTGTGTGTAGGATGAACAAGACTGTCCATATGAGCCAAGGTTGTTTTTTTTTTTTTTTTTTTCTTCACTGATTTTCTCTCATCTCGTTCACCTGTAATCACTTCATGTTTATTTTCTCATGTTATTGATAGTTATTAATTTTAGTTTAGGTCAAGAATGAGAAAAAATTAACCAAGCAGAAAAATTATTATAATATTCCCAGTCAGAAGATTTTGCTCACCTTGAAAATCGGCATTTAAACTCTTTGCTTTTTTAACAGGGTTTGAACTCTTGAACAATTGGTACCAGTGGAAAATATGTAACTGTTACTTTACTTACCTTTAAGAAAATTGAAATGAAACCCTGCATGTTCTACTCTAAATAAATCCCCAAAAGTTTAGTTTTATTGTATTTGATGTTTGGTTTGCTTTACAGCATATTAACCTTTTCCAGATTATTTTATACCAAATAATAGGAGTAGATAAGGTTTGCCTATTGTCTGGTTTACCACCCGCCCCTGGCTTTTCAACAGGAATTGAGATTTGTCCATCGTTAAGGATTAGGATTCTAGTTCCTTCTAAAATATTTTTCTTTTACTTTAAGTTGCTCCTTGCATCTTAGTAGCATTATTACCTTAATTGGGGTGGTGTCTCTTACTATGTAACTCTTGACCCTGAGTTGATTTTGAGCCTTGTACAGGGTGAATATTATTGTAAAAAAAAACATTAAAAAATAAATAATTCTATTGTTTTGATAAACAAGATAAGTAGACATATGTCCAGTCCAGCAAACAGATGAACATTTTAAGGTTTTGCTACCTCTCTGCTTATTTGATATCTGTCATAGGTATTAGGGCTTAAAAATGGCCATATTAAAAGTATATATAAATATATATATGAAAAGTATATAAAATAAAGTTGGGTGGAAGATTAAGGATAAGGGGGAAAAAATGACTCCCCTTAAATTGGTGGAATGAAATAACAATAAAAAAAAAAGGCTAACCAGTTATCACTCTTGGCTCTTCAGAGCCAATCAAGGACAAAACACATAAATATGTACACAATGGCTATAAAAGGGAAGAGAGAAAAAAATACTTTCAGAGAATCTGTGGTGTGTAACGCAACAATTCAACTGATGATAGCAGGTAGGCACAAAGAAAACCGGTGTCGCACGTCCAACCTTCTCACGAGCCGAAAGCCCTCTGATCTGAAACAGCAAAAACGAGCCTGCATTATACAGCCACGGACCGACCACGATTTGCATGCGAATGACGAGACAATGAGATTTCTCGTTAACTAACCGAGACCGCCCGGCATAAAACGTGGGCGCCGCCATTTTGGGTTTTCTTTTACCGTTGGAAGGACCAGAGTTTGCATACTGCGCAGATTCGAACGCGTTTCCGAGGTAAGCCATTTTCACAATTTTCCCCACAGAATCAGTCATCTAAAACATAGATGGTGCTTGAGACCATTTCTGGCTGTTGGGTCTAAATTTAATTTATCTGTGATTTTATACTGATGATTCTCTAGTAGTATTTTTCTCTCCCTTTTTATAGTCATTGTTCCCTTTTATGTCTTGTCTTTGATTTGGCGGTGAAGACCGAGGAACAATAAATGGTTAGCTCTTTTTATTTTATGTTTTTCAATCCACCACTTTCCAGTGAATGTTTTTTCTTTTTGTTTGCTCCTGCTCCCCTTTCTTTCATATATTTACTTGTATGTACTTAAATTATGTATATTTTGGCAGCATCTTTTCATTAAGGCATGTCTCATTGAATGATTTAGAGAAGTTTTGTCTACTTATTTTCAATAGGGTCCTCTCATATTCACTGACAAGCTTCTTAGTATCCTTATTAAGGGAAGACAGAAAATTACCATGCTGATACATATTCATTTATTCTGAGTACTTTCAACATTAGTACAATGTCATCATCAGGCTGTTGTCTTTTATTCTAAGAAAAAGTTGTTGTGTTCATCTGAAAGTATGTATTTATATATATTTTTAAAATGTCCATTTTTAAAGCCCTAATAAAATTTTATACCCATCACAAATTATTTGCCACAGTTTGGTTCTAGAGATCATTGGCAGCTCTGCAAGAGCATGCTGAACAACAGCCAATCCACAATATCTCATCTATTCAATCAATTTGAGGTCCTGACTTCCTCAGCTGATAAGGCTGAATGCATTGCTCGGAAATTCTCATTGCTCGACTCATCCGGAGTACCCACACCTGGTTTTCCCCCTAGAATTGAGCCTCTATTGAGTGTGATAAACATAACCCCATCAATCGTTTTGGACATTGTCTCTAAATTAGACTCCCATAAGGCTAGTGGTGGGGACATGATACCAACTGTTGTCCTAAAGAAATGTGCTCCTGAACTGGCACCAGTCTTCTTCAAACTATATAACTACTGCCCCACTGACGCTTGCTTTCCATCCTGTTAGAAGACTTCAAATCTACAAATCAACCTTTTGTCCTTGCATGGAATACTGCTGCCATATATGGTCTGGAGCCCCCGCTGTTCATCTTGATGCCCTAGACAAAATCCAGAGATGGATATGCAACGTGGTTGGTCCTGATCTGGAATCCCGTCTCCAGTCGCTATCTCACAGTTGTGCTGTGGCTTCCCTCTGCCTTTTCTACAAGTACTTTCATGGCAACTGCTCTGACGAGCTACTTTCACTGTTTTCCAAATTGCATGAATTTAAGCGTGCTACTAGGTTGGCATCTAAGCCACACCCCTTCACTGTTGAAACAACTAAATGTAGCCATCTCTTCTACTTCAACAGCTTATCATCTTGCACCTCCCGTTAATGGAACCCCCTCCCTATCACTTGCTTCCCTGATAGCTATAATCTTCAAATATTCAAATGTAAAGTCAATTAACATCTTCTGATGCCTTGACCTTGATCCCTGTCCTTCTCTTTATCCTTTTCCCAAACACTTCTCTTTACTCTTACTCTCACTCTCTGTAACTCCTCACATGCTAGTGGCACTCCAGCTTTTAACTTGAAACAGAATCTCAACCTCTCGGTTTGCAAGTCCACTTTCCTTACCACTGAGTCAGACTCAGAATAAGCTTCTGGCAAGATTTAAACTCACTTCCTTTTTCACAACATTTGTCTTAAGTGTTATTTTCATCTTATTTCTGTTTTTTATTGCAAACTCCAGACCATTCCACCATTATTAGACTTTAGTAACTTTTGCAGAGGGTAGTTGCCATGTTAAAACAAACATCCAAGTGTACAGGACTTTATTTTAAGTCCACAGTGTTTGCTGATGAAAGAACAATCTGGAAAGCTGTCATAAAAAGCAACTGAAATTAAGATGAAAGAAATACTAGTTGAAAATTTAATACTTGATAATGCTTCATCTATAAATGAACAATATCATGAGAATATACTATTTACATCGTTTGGACTGTTGTCTTCATCTTTATTATATCATGAGAATAGTTTTAAAGTTTTTCCTAAATAAAAGTAATGTCTAGAAATGGATATTATATTTACATTTCATTTATATTCTGCATTTTATAAGCATAAAATTATCAATAAGATTCTTTTGTTTTCATTCTCCCTGTGGTATTAAATTTTAAACAATCAAAACTTGAAATTAAATTCCACTGTCTTATAATTAAAGAAAATCAAAAATTCTGCATCGTAATTTTTTTTTTTTTTTTTTTTTTTTTTTTTTCAATTATTCCATTCTCATTAAAGATTTGGCATTCTTTAGAAATTCTGTGAAAATTGATTTTTTTTAAAAAAGCACTAAATCATAATGTCAGTTTAGATAAAGAATTTAAAATTCTCAGCACATTTAATGGGGACTAGAGTTGGGGGAAATCTGAAATAATTTTGGTCAGAGTTGAAAAAAACATCCTAACTACATGTTTGAAATAAAATTTAATATTATAGCAACATAAAAATAAATAATATATTCTTATATTAAGTCTTCATTTTCAGCATTTTTTTTTCTTAAATTCAAAATAATTGTAAATTATTCTTGAGAAATTTGAAAAGATCTAAATGTCAAAGAAGCTAACATATTTAAGGATTTCACAAAATCTGAAGACAGAAAATATTTTGTGGATCAGTGTATATAGGACACTGGATCCAGATATTACATTTGCAATTTTCCAAGGAATCTCAGTTGGATAGGAAGAAAATAAATTTTGGAATTAAAAATTAAGACACTTGTGGGGAAAATTGTGAAAATGGCAAGAGTGCCCTATATATGGCCTTTGGAATAGACCCCTTCATCACTTGGAAATAGTTCGTCGGATGACGGCTCGAGCCAGGTGAGACGATGGATGTCTACCTGGCCAATTTGCGAAGGCTGGCGGTGCCGTTTGGCGGAGCAACGGACCGCATACTGGGGTGCGCCTTCCTGGCAGGACTTCCCGACGACACCAGTCGGCTCCTGCGAGTGTCTTCAAGATTGGACACAGTGGGAATTGACGAATTGCTAGCCAGGGCCTGAAACATCACAGAACAGGTCGCGGCAGCCGTGAGAATGCCCGAGACACTGCAGGAGGGCCCAAAGTGCTACAAGTGCGGTGGACCCAACCATTTCTCTAGAGACTGCCAGAGCTGAAGTGACGTAGGAGGTGGGAATAGCCAACGGACACGAGCACGACTACACTGCTATCATTGCAACAAGTTAGGCCATGCAGCACAGGATTGCTCGGGAAAAGAATCCGGGGACAAGGTGCTGTCGCAACCCTTGCCTCCTCTTGGTCAGTAAATGCGGCATTGCCTGTTGTCAACATGTGCATTGAGGGTAAACGATGTTCAGTTCTTGTCGACACTGGATGTTCCCGATCAATCGTTAGTGCGGATCGATGCGTGACATGGAGCGGTTAACAAATCGAGATTCGGATGATTGACGGAGTGTCCCGGGCCTGTTGTGGTGTCGGGACTGTATCAGTCCTCACAGACGGAGGGAATCATGGTTGATGTTTTGGTGGCACGTCAAAGGCCCCTCGGTTACGACCTGCTGCTTGGGATCAATGTGACCCGAGCGCTAGGAGGCATGATAATCACGCCAGCAGGAAATGTGGAACTGGGTAAAGGAAGAAAGATGTGTGCATCCCTTTGCATTAATGAGCTGGATTTCGACATCTCTTTCAATTCCGACGAGAGGGTGTGGACCGCCAGGTGGAAAATGGGGCCCAAAGAGATCCACCAGCTTCACAACAAGGTCGCAGAGTACAAAGTTCGTTGTGTGGGAAACTTGTTGGACATTTCCCCGTGTGTGGATGGCTCAGGGTGGCAGTTGCATTCGTCGAGCGCCTGGCAACCGCAGCAACCAATGGATGGATGATAACATCAAAGATCCCTCTCTCTGTCGCATACTAGCAGAGTTGTTAAGTAGAGTGTGGGAACTGGATCCCATTAGAGGAGACTGGTGCATGAGTGGTGACTAGATCACAGTCTGGGTGGATGCGGGTTCTGTGGCGACAGGAGTGGCATTGGAAGCGAACGGAAATGTCATCGAGGATGCATGTTGGCTGCGTCCAACTAATGATGCCAGGCATATAATTTTAGCTGAACTTGATGCGGCGCTTAAAGGAGTCAATCTAGCCCTCCAGTGGGAGTCGACAACTTTGCACTTGGTTACTGATTCGGCGTGTGTGCACCAGTAGATTTCCGACACTTTGACCGGAAGGCATGGGTGAACACAAGGGCGGCTGGCGAGATGCTTGTTAGGCGACAGCTGGGCATTATGTGATTACTGGTGGAAGAATATGGATTGACCATAGATGTGACACTCGTACACAGTCCTGTCAGAACCGTGCGGATCGCTTCATCAGAGTACCGCACAGGTGGCTAGAACTGCTCAAGAGAGGAGAACCGGCACTCGAGAGCTGTGCAGTGGTAGGGAGATGACTGGACGAGGACCAGGTAACCAATACCTATCGTCAATGCGGACATCCGGGCGTGAAACGAACTCTGTACTTCGCCAGGTTAGTCGACTCGCAGGTGTCCAGAGAAAGCATTAAATCCGTTGTGAAGGCCTGCACAACCTGTCAGTCGATCGATCCAGCACCTGTTCACTGGGAAAGAGGAGAACTGAGCGTGAAGAGCAACTGGAGCAGACTAGCGATGGACATAACTCGCTACAATGGTTAGAATTTTCTAACGCTTATTGATTGCGGTCCCTCTAGGTTTGCGGTATGGCGGCCGCTGCGCCGACAAGATGCGAGCACTGTCATTCGACTGTTGAAGAATGTTTTCCTGGAGCGAGGCCAACCTATGGAAATACTGACCAACAACGATACTGCATTCACCAGTAAAGACTTTAAAGAATTTGCAAACAATTGGGACGTGCATCTGCGGTTTCGATGTGCCTACTTGCCAAGTGGAAACGGCATCGTAGAGCGAAACCACAGAACCATCAAGACCATCGCAGCCAGAAAGGGCTGTACAGTATCGGAGGCGGTTTACTGGTATAATGTCGCCCCGAAAGATAACGTTTCACCATGCACAAATATCATGTCCGAGTGAAAGGCATTGAAGCCAACCCACTGCCTGAACTAGAAGTGACTGGAGGGAGATTGAAAAAAGGAGATGTTGTTTGGGTCATAAACCCACGCGGCAAGTGTACGACAAAATACGGCACTGGACGTGTTACGGAGGTGACTAGCCCGCAATCTGTGAGAGTTGATGGGGTGCCTCGTCACATTAATGACTTGCGACCGGTGATGCAACCGCTACCGTTACTGAGCGATGAAAGCGATTCCGAGTCTGAGAGTAGTGAGTGTTCGATCTGCTTGGAGTTAGACCTGCAGGGCAGTGATTCCGATATTTGCAACCTCACGGTGGACACAGTGTTTACCGACACTCAAACCACAGACGAGAGCACGCATGAGGATGAAGCTTGTGTTGTCCCCCTTCGAAGGGGGACTCGAAGGCGACGATCGTCACCTCCTTGCCCTGTTTGTGATCATGAGATCAGGGGGGAGTGTGGGGAAAATTGTGAAAATGGCCTACCTCGGAAACACCTGCAAATCTGTGCAATGTGCAAACTCCGGTTTGCTCAACAGTAAAAGGAACCAAAATGGCAGCGCCCATGTTTTATGCCAGGCTGTCTCAGATAGTTAACGCGAAATCTCGTTGTCTCATCATTCGCATGCAAACCGTGGTCGGTCCTCGGCTGTATAAAGCAGGCGTGTTTTTGTTTCTGATGACTGGGTTTTTGCTCGTGAGAAGGTTCGACGTGTGACACTGGGTTTTTGTCGGTTACCCTCCTCACATTTTTTTTCCTATCTGCTATTATCAGTTGAGTCGTGTTTCTTATCTTAAAATTCATCTGATATTAATAAATGGTATTATTTGTCACCTTGGACATTTACCAACACCGTGTTGACTGTAGACTAAATTGAAAATAAAAAATGTAACTGACTAAATGATATTTTATATACATTTTAATTTGCTTCTTATATAGACATTGATTAGCAAACATCTTATATAAAATTGGTTGTGATGTTTGTCTTTATTGTCTATTTCACCAGTTATGATAAGTGCTTGTTTTAGGAAAATGCTTAACAAGTTAATAGTTGATCCTCAATAAATGTCATCTTTTATGACTAATCATACTAAAGACACGAAAATATTTCAAAATTAAAACTGTAGATATCAAGAAATGTTATGACCTAATTTTCAATGTAATGAAAGGAATTTGCTTTGTTGTAAGAGAGATAGCATTTCTGCTTGTGGCATGGGAGTTAACATGAAAGTAAGAGCAAATAAAATTTAAACCCTGTTTTATCAACCTTCTTTGTTTTGTTCATGGTTATCTTTATCATATTGATTCTATTTCAAACAAAAACTAAAAATATTTTGTTTTTGTTTTTATTTTAAAAGAAATAGTGAGAAAAAGGCCCTTTTACATCATGAGTAGATTTGAACATTGACCCAATCTCCCAACACAGTCAGCTATCACTGAGTTAAAGAAAAAAGTTACATATTTTTTTTATTTTTTTTTTTATTAGTTTCTCTTTGTTGTCTACTTTGAAATAAATTTCTGTATCTGTTTGTTTTCTGTCTCTTTTTTATTTGGGTCCTTTAGATCTAAACCTTATGTATTTGTCGATATCATCTGCTTTGAAAAGTATCTTGTTTAGCTTTCATGTCTGTTTGCATGAGATTAGTTCGGCTAACCAGCTCAGACACAGCATTGCACATGTTTGCGACCCCACAGTCTGCACCTTCATCTGTCTCGGTCTCCTCATCCCCATCTGCCTTTTTACACAGTGTTCCTCTACTGACTTTTGCCAAAATACAGGCCAACTCCACCAATGCAACGCCAGTAAAACCAGCCTTTTTTTTTTTTTTTTCTTTTTTTTTATAGCTTCAAACTGTTTTCCTCCTTTTCTCTCTCTCTCTCTCTCCTTATTAATCACTGACATGCAGACCTCAAAAATGCTTATCAGTGAGGAGTTGCCTTAAAGTTCCAATTTTACAAGAGACATTATTGCATTGCCCAAGGTGAGGAAAAGTGAATTGACTTTCATTGGATTTTGATAATAAATTGCTACTTCAAATTTTAATTTTAAAAGAAAATGACTAATTTATTTGAAATAGACTAAGGTTGCAGCAGAGCAATCTAAAAATTCCTGGAATGGTTGGACCTCCATCAGGACACACCACTGCAGCTGCATTACATGTAGGGCCCCTACAACCCTTAAAGGTCATGGGAATCCTCATTATTGTGAATTAAAAATGTATTCATATATTTTCTTTGTTTCTACAGTAGTTATAAAAGTTATTCTGAATTTCAGTAACTTTTTAAAATGCAATTTTTTTCAGTAGCTATAACTTTGTGACCTGTACCTTCAAGATGATCCTGGCTCTCCACAATTTCCTGACAAGTAGTTAATAAAAGATAGTATATGACTGATGTTATCTACTTTTACTACAAGGTGTTGCACAAGTTTTTCAGTTAAAATAGGCTTTGGAAGATGAGTTGGTCAGAGAGCTCTTCCTACTCTCGTCTTTCCATGGCAGGTCGGAGAGCTCTTCTTACTCTCGTCTTTCCATGCATGGTCAGTCGAGGAGTTTCCCTTCTCTCGTCTTCCTGTAGTCAGAGAACTTTTTCTTCTGATGATTTGAATGCCATCTAAAAATAATCTGTACTTCACTTGGTCTTAAAGCCAACATCATTTTATGCTTGAACTAAATCTTCAGCAGCGACTTCTGGTAGGAATTATTTGAAAGTTTGAATCTGCCTTTTATTACTAATTAGCTCTATATTTATTAAATGCTGTGGAAAAGTTAATTAAACAACAGAAATAGATCCTATTTAATTACTATTCTGTCTTGTTGGTTAATTAGAATTGATTAATTATAAGCAGAATTTTTGTATTGACCAAAAATGTCAGGCATCATTTTCTCAGACAAACAAAAGAATTTTTATTTGCTTTTAATTTTAATTTGATTCTACAACAATTTGATTCTTTTAAGCAATTCATCTTCTTTCATTGTTGTTATAGCTGTCATCATTATTATTATTATTATTATTCATTGTTTCTTTTTATAATTTGACTTGTCCAAATGTTTAATAAATTAAAATGAACATATCTCTACAATTTGAGATTGATTTGTGTGTGTAAATAACACAGGAAAGAAAAAGTAAAACAATATGACTAAAAATGCCAAAGAATATATCAATCAAAATCTTTTGTTAAAAACAAACAATACATGTGAGGAGTTTGAAAAATGTATAGAATATTGTCAATAGAAATTTCTAATAATAATTGAAACAGTTTAAATTTTTAGTCTTGGGTCAAATAAAAACATTAATAGTAATTTCTTTAAGTATTTTTTTTATAACAAGGAAGTCTGATTTTGTTATCCTTGTCTAATGTTTGAATTTCAAAAGTATCAGTTAATCAAAGAAATAATGATCCCAACATGTGACACTATTGGGAAGTGCCTGAAAATCTCACATAGGTTGACCCAAACCTTGTGAGTGAAATTGGGTAGATAAGACTGTTCAGAAGGTTATGCTAGCATGAATTCACAAGGCGTCACCTAATAGGTAGATTTAAGTTCTTTAACTTTGGTTGACAATGTATTTAGTGAGGGTGCATCCTGGCCATTTAGGGGGATGTATCAACTTAAAAAAAAACTAACAATGACCAAAATTCTTTAAAAGAAATAAAAAAAAAAAAAAAAAAAAAAATGTCAGAGACATTCAATTTGCCACAAGTGGAAATAATGATACCCCCTTATTTACATACAAGTTTTTACTTGGATGTTAATAAGGGGTTTACAAAAATAAGAAAGAAGTAAAAAGATTCCTTGTTGCACACAATACACAGAATGGAGTATAAAATATGAGGGAGTGAAATCAAAAATTTTTTTTTTTTTTCTATCATAATTTTCTCTCAAAGACTGACTGAATGAGACACAAGATTTGTCAAATATTTTTTCTAAAACTCTGTCCTAATTTCTACTTCATATTTGGAATTTAATAGAGTTGATAGTAGTTTGCTCTTTGACAAGAGAAAACAAACTTATATTGAATATGATGCATAAAATATGTTTAGCATTAAGCTTCCATGAAGGTTTCTTTTTTTTTTTTTTTTTTGCCTAAGGTGAAAAATCCTTTTCAGTATTTTGTATAAAACATGGAAATAGAAATTGTTTCCAGTTTGTTTCCATGCCAACCTGCATACACATAGCTACCTAGCATGCCCACCTGCATAAATCTAGCTGCCCACCTGCATACATCTGGCTACCTACCATGCCCACCTGCATACATGTAGCTACCTACCATGCCCATCTGCATACTTCTAGCTGCCCACCTGCATACATGTAGCTGCCTACTATGCCCACCTGCATACTTCTGCCCATCTGCATACTTCTAGCTGTCCACCTGCATACATGTAGCTGCCTACTATGCCCACCTGCATACTTCTCCCCATCTGCATACTTCTAGCTGCCCACCTGCATACACGTAGCTACCTGCCATGCCCACCTGCATACACTGGTCATCTGTTTGTCTGTTGCTAATTCAGTTTTTGTTGTCACTTATCAGAATTCTTTTTTAAGTCAACTCTCTTTGAACACCTTGCCTTCTGTCATAGAATATCTGGGTTCCTTGTCTGGCAAAAAGGCTGGTTGACTGTATTCCAGCATTTTGCCTTTATTTAAATTGATGCATAGATGACAAGACGTTTTGGGTATTCTGTAAATAAGCATTAAAATATTAATAAAAATCAACCTCACTCCCTTCTTTTTTTTTTTTCTAGAGATGTTAACTCTAGAAAATCCCTTATTTTCTTTCCTTTAAAAAATCACATTTACTACAAAATGTCTTGTGCATTTTGAGATGAGCAGAAAGTATGTAAAAAAAAAAAAAATAAAAAAATAAAAGAATAATCTATGTGTTTCTGCCACAAAATAAGAAAACAAAATGAGTCATTGCCCTTTAAAAATATTTCATTAACTTTCTCTTTCCAGGCTCACAAAATAAGAACCAATAAACAAAGGAAGTCTGTGTCTGTGTGTGTTTATCTCAACTTTCATTAACATTCATCATCTGTTGCACTCTGCTGAATGCATTGTCCATATTGCAGTTTTACCATTCTTGGCAGCCATCCTCTTACAGGCAACAAGCCTTTATGCTTCAGTGCACATTGCTTTGTGCCTTGGGCTATCAGGGACACACTCTTATACAGGCATTCTTACTCTTATTTCTATGCTCCAAAACAGGTTGAGTGTTCAAGTTTGATTTCTCTCTCTATTGTTAAAGGAAGAAAAGGCGAAACAAGTTAAACAATCTTTTTTGAACATGATGAAATTAATTTCTTCACAAAACCTGCCAACACTTCAGCTTTTATTGTCTTCATTGTTCGTTTTCGTATTATCAGCTCTTTTCCCCCTCTTTCTTACTTCGTGTCTTTTGCATTCATTTCTCTTTCAATTTTTTTTTCTTATTCTTCTGTTTCTATCTCTCTTCCTGATGAACTGGGAGAGTTGCTATTTCCTTTTTCTTTTTAGCATTTCTTTTCTATCTCATTTTCTCCTCAAAGATTTTATTTTCTCTTTCTTTTTCAGTTTTCTTTTTTCCTTTTTTCTCTTTCCTCTCCCCCCCCTTTTTTCTTTCCTCTTCTTATTCTTATATTTCACATTAATTTTTCCTTTGCTTTTCTCCTTACCTTTCAAAATCATTTTTTTTCATTATGTCTACCACCTTTGCTCTTTTTTCTCCCTATTATATACATATATATATATATATATATATATATTTTGTCTATCCTCTTGCTAAACTGGTACTAATAAGTTGAATTTTTTATCCCTATTTTTATTAAATGTGACAACAGAAGGAAAGATGTTTTTTGATAATGTTTGCCAGTCACACAAAATATTTTACAATTTTGTTTATATTCGAGCATATAAAATTCATTTGTTATATTTTTATTTTTTTAACAAGGGGCATTTTCACTGTTGCAATAAAATGAAGCGCATTTGTTTCCATGAACCAACAATTCATTAATTATCTAACTATTCCTTTTTAAAAGCATTCATATTCTTTCTTTCTCTCTCTCCCTTCTTCCAACCATTCCTCTTCTCTCTCTCCCTTCTTCCAACCATTCCTCTTCTCTCTCTCCCTTCTTCCAACCATTCCTCTTCTCTCTCTCCCTTCTTCCAACCATTCCTCTTCTCTCTCTCCCTTCTTCCAACCATTCCTCTTCTCTCTCTCCCTTCTTCCAACCATTCATCTTCTCTCTCTCTCCCTTCTACCAACCATTCATCTTCTCTCTCTCTCCCTTCTGCCAACGATTCATCTTCTCTCTCGCTCTCCCTTCTACCAACGATTCATCTTCTCTCTCGCTCTCCCTTCTACCAACGATTCATCTTCTCTCTCGCTCTCCCTTCTACCAACGATTCATCTTCTCTCTCGCTCTCCCTTCTACCAACGATTCATCTTCTCTCTCTCTCTCCCTTCTACCAACGATTCATCTTCTCTCTCTCTCCCCCTTCTACCAACGATTCATCTCTCCCTCTCTCCCTACCATTCATCTCTCCCTCTCTCCCTTCTTCTTACCATTCATTTCTCCCTTCTCTCTCTCTCTCTCTTTGTATTGACATTTGTTCTCTTGCCATCTTATTATTTCTTACTTTCTTTGTTTCTCCAAACTTTTTTTGAGCTAATTGCAAAGACAACTTCTCCCATTCTTCTAGTCTCAAGTGTCTCAAGAAAAATCAACGTAGGGGACATTTTTTTCTTTTTCTTTTTTTTATTTTATTTCTAGTTCATGAAAACAGTCCCTTGTTTTTCTATTATTTTTGACTGAATCCAGTATTAATAGAGGCCATTGAATTTGACAATTCTTCAAAGGATTATTAGAGATGCATGAGGTGATGGGGAAGAGACAATCAAGGGAAAATCTGTACTAAGTTTGTCTATGGTTATGAAGAAATTAAATTGGCTAAATCTTTACTCTTCATTTTTTTTTCTCTCTCACTTCCTTTCATTTTAAAAACAAAAGCAATTAGCTAACAGATGAGACAGTGAATATCCAAAATTGGTTGATGATGCATTTTCAATGCTTAAAACAAAATATAAATTCATTATTAATTTAATAATAGAAATGATCCAAACAGTATAACCAGTGCTACAATCCTCATTGGGGAAGATTTTACACATTTCATAATTAGGTAGTTCTATAGTTATTAGCATAGAAAGTGTAATTGACAAGCCAGGTTCAAGTTCCACCTTAGACTGTTATATTTACTTTGCACAAATTCTCTTTGAAAAATGCATAAAGCCATTTCTTCCCCCATATGGGTTAAATAGCAGAGTAGACTGGGTTTCTAGCCTTGGGTGTTTACCAATGTAGTCTACTTGAAATTCAGATCTGTGGAATGGAGAAGGCAACAGGAAACCTTTTCAAAGAGGTCATGACAATTCACAGATAATAAAGAAAAATCTTTGGGAAGCTATGAGTATGATTGTCTATATATAAATGGCTCTGCTAAATAGGCACTCAAGCAGTTATTACACGGAGATCGGATTTTTCATGGAAAAAGGATCTGTGAATTCAATTCATGCTGAAAAGCTTGTTTTTAATTTATTTATTTCCAGCCTGCCCTGTTGATGAATATCTGTATAATGATGGACTGATTAGTTGCATTAAAAAGTACTTGAAACTAAGATGAAATTCACAATCATATTCAGATGGGATTTTTATCAAGCAATTTAGTTCACCAACTGGGAGAGAAGTAATAATTATGTTGGTCAGCCTTGCATCTTGGAAATGTCCACCTTCTACACTTTTCATTATGTTGATAATTAAAGTTAGTTTCATTCCATTCATAACTGAAAGAGTCAGCAATTATTTTGTTACTCGAATACTGAGAGAATAATTTGATCCAACAATTACTATCTTCCAAGCAATAGAATTTCAAATGAGACATTCACCATCTTAAATTGTCAGAGATAATTATTATGGTCAAATAGTAATATTTCTGTTTAATTTTTGATTTTTACAAAATCAACAGAAATTGAATGAGTTCCAGAAGGAACTAAGGAAACTAATTAATTTTTGGGATATTTTTGTTTTCAATAATTTGAGATTTTCATCATAATCAAATGCAAGCAAAAGAAGATAGGGCAGATTTACATTTTAAAGAATAATGTCTTGATATACAGCTGTTAACAAATTGTCAGAAATGTGCATTGATTTTACAGTATCCCCTCAACAAAAAAAACATTGACCAGAAATACAATGGTCAAAAATTCATATGAACTGTGTAGGATCTAGAAAAGAAATGCCCCATAAAGTTTCTCATATACCATTTCATAATTACAAGAATTGATTATTTATTTATTTATTTATTTATATATATTTTTTTCAATCTTCTAAAACAGGTTTTATATCAGAGGCAATATTAAAACATGTTTTATGCCAGAGGCAATACCAGCATTCCTCAATTAATGCACTTTCGATTAATGCGTTTTCAATTAGTACGCTAAAATTTTTATATACCAAAATTCAATTAGTGCATACATAATACTTGATTAGTGTGTAAAACATTCTTCACTTTACCCATAGTAATTGAAAACTTATTTTTTTATAGTTACTGATGTACACATTAGCCACACTGATGAAGGGTTTCCTGTATTAAAATAAGTTTTATACTAGAGGCAATAATAAGATTTTATAAAACTGGTTTGGAAATTTGGTTTGGTTTGTTTAATGTCATATCAACCTCAATGGGTTATTTAATGCCGACAACATTTTTAGGATAGATTCGTATGAATAGAGTATGTATTCTTTGGTTTAGATTGGTTTGGTTTATTTTGTTTTACGGCATATCGACCTCAATAATGCTGACAAAAATTTTTATTGCTGTTAATATTCTGTTTTGTCAAAAATCTGTTTCTGGTAATATATTTCCTTCAAAATTGTATTGCTGGTAATAGTTAACTATTTGCCCATAGCTGGGACCCTAACAGGTGCTACCACCCTGGTCAGGGTGGGCCTGGGAACACCAGCAATTAAGAGGTGGTTCCACGCTCCTCAAAGCCTCCTGATCAGAGGCCTTGCTGCTGGACATAGTTTCTTGTCTTACCCAGGACGTGGATGTAGTTTAATGTCTTACCCAGGATGCAGATGCAGTTTAACATCTTACCCAGGATGATGGTTTGGAAATGTGACAAATGTTTTTATTTTTTCATTCTGCACATGGAGAATGTTGACCTTTCAATGTTAGTTTCAATTTTGGTAAATGCCAGAAGTCTGATGATGATAAATTCAGATTGGGCTGTAATTGTGTAACAAATGGCTTTCAGGCCTTCTCACTGTTGGCACAATCATTTGTTAGTGATGCGAATTTATATCATCATCATCATCATGTAAAAAGACACAATTCTCCTTTCCTTATTCTGCACTTGCATTTCTTAAGTACTCACAATGTTTCTTTGCTTTCATACATGTGTGAATTTTGATTGGTACACAACTTTTTTAGTTCCAAAGTTCTAGAACTGACTGCAGCTTGATATATAATTCAACCATAGTACTCGATTCCATTGCATAGCAAACTGAAACTAAACACAATTGAATAGGACTTCATATATTATCAAATATGCGTTTCTTTCATCAATGTTATCGACACTATTAAGTAGGAGACTTTACTAACAATTAAATCACATATTTTTTCAAATAACCATACATGAAGTACCAAATTTACCACAAACTAAAACAATTTCCAAAATATCTAATATTTTTTAAGATAAACCCTAAAAAACATGACAAAAATTGATTTCTGTCTTGTTCAAGTTCACCTTCATATTGGAAAAAACATTTGAAGTTTTGAAATTTCAGCTCAAGAAAAAAAACATCACATTTCTTCAGTGTTTGACTAAAAGGTAATGCAAAATATTTTTTTCTTTGTTTTCATCTACTAATTAACTAACAGATTAAATTTGTTTATAAAAAATAGATAAGTCAAAGAAAAAAAACCAATAATTAAATGAATTTCTTGTTTCAACTGAAAATATATTTTCTGAAAATTATTTCAGAATAATTTCATAAACAAAACTGCTTTCTTCTTTCCATTCAACAATTATTTCAACCAACCACAGATTGTTTAGGGACTAAGTACATTTTTGGTCCCATTTAACAGCAAATATAAGCCTCCTGATTCTTTGGATTAAAATAATAATGGTGACACATGTCATTGTTTTGATGATAATGAAGGCATTTCTACTTTTATCATATATTCTTCATTTAATTTACTGACAAGCAAATTTCTGTAAGTATTTATCTAGGCTGAGGCAATAGAAAGAGAAGCCATTGTCCTTGATAGAATATTTTAACATAATATTGAGAATGTGTTAGGGATTGGGGAATGACTGAAGAAAAGAGGGACTCATCTTTAGTCATAAACCAAGAAAAAGACACAATGGCAGGATATATTGACACCTTTTTCTTACTTATATATATATATATATATATATATATATATATATATATATGTGTGTGTGTGTGTGGGTGTGGGTGTGTGTGTATACACTTAAAATACGTATCTGTAAGTGCACATATATGTATTTATATATGATGTTTTTCCACTTGCAAAAACAAGATGCACAGAGAAGTGTTTGCATTGGATTTTGCAGACCAGCACATCAGATTAACTTCATTGTCAGTTTTGTGTAATTATTGGATAGATTCTGTTTGATTATTGATTATTCTTTGCTTTGGTTAGCCATTCTCTTCAGCAGCAGCAGAGGACGAAAACAGGAATCTAATTTCTATCCCCTTTCCCACACTACATCCACCAACCTCCTTTTGCTTCTTAAATTATCACATCTCCCAACCCACCTTCTAACCTGGCTTCATTCGCCACTCTCTCCATTTATATAAAATGTCTCAGTATTTTCTATATTAAAACTTTTTCTTTAATATATCTATATTATTTCTTTTTATTATTAAATGAATAATATCTGTATTTAGGCTTATGAATATATGCTATCTTTTTCCATTCATGCTTTTTATCACTGCCATGTTTATTAAATATATTGGAATACTAATATTGAAACAGAAATGTGGTTCTACAGAAGGATGCTGAGGATACCATGGACCGAACATGGGAGCAACAACACGGTTTTGGAGAAAATGGAAACAAAAAGGAAACTAATACTTATCAGAAAGAGAGTTGAGGTTACTAAGGGACATAATGAGGAAGGAGGGCTTGGAAAATCTGATACTCACAAGACAGATGACAAGAGGGACAAAGGAAAATAATATACTTAATTAGCTTGACTAAATGGATGGGGCACCAGGGTTTAGGAGAAACACAAAGTTTATTAAGAGCTACAATGGAGAGCCATGATTGCTTACATCCTGAGGGAACGCACCACATAAAGAAGAATATTAAAACATTGACTAAACAAGATTAACATTAATCTTTCTACAGATGGATAATAAATCTGTTATTTACACATAAGACTGCCTTTTAAACTTGTTAAATAGATCACAACATTATTCTTTGATTCTAAAAGAAATGAGCCAAACATTTTTGTTAACTTATTCTTAGCCTACCTCCACCTTAGTATATCCAGTTCTACAATCCTCATTGGGGAAGATTTTATACATTTCATAATTAGGTAGTGCTATAGTTATTAATTGGCAAGCCAGGTTCAAGTTCCACCTTAGTCTGTTATATTCACTTTGCACAAATTCTCTTTGAAAATGTGTAAAGCCATTTCTTCCCCCATATGGGTTAAATAGCAGAGTAGATTGGGTTTCTAGCCTTGGGTGTTTACCAATGTAGTCTACTTGAAATTCAGATCTGTGGAGTGGAGAAGGCAACAGGAAACCTTTTCAAAGAGGTCATGACAATTCACAGATAATAAAGAAAAATCTTTGGGAAGCTATGAGTATGATTGTCTATATATAAATGGCTCTGCTAAATAGGCACTCAAGCAGTTATTACACGGAGATAGGATTTTTCATGGGAAAAGGATCTGTGAATTCAATTCATGCTGAAAAGCTTGTTTTTATTTTATTTATTTCCAATCTGCCCTTTGTTCTAGGTAAGACAATAAACTACATCCAACAGCAAGGCCTCTGATCAGGTTTTGATACACGTGGAGCCAGCTCTTAATTGCTGGTGTTCCCAGGTCTACCCTGACCCAGAGTAGTAGCACCTGTTAGGGTCCTAGCTATGGGCAAATAGTTAAATCCCAAACTGGGGTCAAAACACTATGAAAATGTAAAAATAGGTTTTAATACAAGAAATATTTTGTAAAAAATTACCAGCAATACATTTTTGAAGAAAATATATTACCTGAAATACATTTTTGAAAAAAAATATTACCAGCAATAAAAATTTTGTCGGCATTTAATAATCCATTGAGGTTGATATGCCATAAAACAAAAAACAAAACACTCTGCCCTGTTGATGAATATCTCTAGAATGATGGACTGATTAGTTGCAATAAAAAACACTTGAAACTAAGATGAAATTCACAATCATATAATAGATATTCATTTAACAGATGAGTTGATTTTGTTAATATTGCAGTATTTATTTACATAATCCTCTTAATCTTATTTTGAGATTAACAGGAATAACTATAAAAGTATTAACTAAATTCCTCATAATCCATCAAATATTTTTTACAAGCTTGTACTGTGTGTATGTGTGTGGAGACACTTGTATCTGAAGGAAGCACTTTACTAGTACACTTTTTCTCTCCTTCAGTTAACTTTATGTAACACATTTACTAGTGTGGACTTTGCTAGTAAAAATGAATTTTTAATTGGTGACTAGTTGAAATGCAAATCTCTGCCATTCTAATTTGCCATGTTTGCCTAAATTATAACCACGAGAATTCTCAAGCCACAAAACTGCTAATTAGAGATTTTCATTTACTGGTAAAATCTACAAGAATGACTCTGTCACATTAAAAAAATTATTTTGGTAAAGTTTGCAAAAATGTTTTACTCTGAATTGAGTTTTGAGCCTCTCCCCATTTGGTGTCGTCAAAATAAAATCTGTTAGAACCAAGTCTGGTACTCTTCACTTGATCATTTTGCGATCTCACATCGAACCTGAATTCAAGTCTCATTTAAGGATATGATGCAGTAAATTTCTGTAATTTGTTTCTCTCTCTCTCTACCCCTCAACCAACCCTCTCTCTATTCTATCAAGATTCTCTCCTTTCCTGTCCTCTCTTTCTCTCTCCTATTACTTTTCTTTCACCTTTCCACCACACATTCTCTCATTTTCTGCTCTCATTTATTTCCTTTCCCTCAAATCCACTCTTTCCCCTCCTCTATAGCATTCCTATCCTTCCACCCCCTCTTCTATATTGTTTCTTTTGTCCTGCATCCCTCCTCTATCTTGCTACTCTTCTTTCCTTTCCCACCACTCCTCTATCTCATTTCTTTCTTTCCTCCAACCCCTCGTTCTCTCCTATCTAGTTTCTCTCTTCACTACTTCCCCTCTTTTTCTCTCTTCACTACTTCCCCTCTTTTTCTCTCTTCACTACTTCCCCTCTTTTTCTCTCTTCACTACTTCCCCTCTTTTTCTCTCTTCACTACTTCCCCTCTTTTTCTCTCTTCACTACTTCCCCTCTTTTTCTCTCTTCACTACTTCCCCTCTCCCTACTCTAACTCAATTTTCTCCTTTATTCTAGCCTCTTTCTCTATCCTTTTTTTGTTTCTCCTCCTCTCTGGCATACACCTTCTTTATTCTATCAACCATTTCAGGTGAACAGTTGCAATATTTTCAAAAATACAATAATGTCCGTTTTTTGCTTCAGCAATAACCTGCCAGGCACTTTTGTGAAACTTGTTTAATTCCTGTCTTCGTGAAGAAATCATCTTTTTTTTTTTTTTCCTCATTCATTTCTTATTGTGTCTTGTTTCTTTGGCAACACAAGATTAATCTGTTGATGAAAACCGTTGGCAGAACAGGCGCCTTCAGGCAGTGGGGAGGATGGAGGAGAAAAAAGATAGTGGAAGGAAAAAAAAATGCTCCGATTCATGAATAAAATCTGAGAAAACGTCTGCTTTGACTTTTTGGGAAAATCTTTGAGAAACATTGTAAGCGAATTGGGATAACCATTGCACAAGTTTCCACTAAAAAAGACTTTTTTTTCTTTCAAAGATGCAGAAAAAATTTTAAAATGTACATGGTTGATTTAAAAAAAACATCTTTTCTCACCACCTTCTACTGGATGCTGAAAACCAGTATATCTGAAAGCTGATTTTAAAAAAAAAAAAAAAAAAAAAAAATATTAATTGGAAAATGTCAATGCATCTTTATCAGTATTTTTTGGGTAACCATTCATTTCTGAGGATGTTTGTCTTCTGAAGTGCCTGGCTAATCCCTGTTGCAGGTAGCTGCTGAGGCACATTTATTTTGTTCACCACTCAAGCTGTGATTTATATGGCAACTACACGGAGCACACCTTAGTTACAGTTTCCAAGAGAAAGCACTTAATCTGGCATGATCAGCAATTTGAACAAAGCCAGTACACTTAAACCCTCAGCCACAATGACTTGTGACTTTATGCTAGCATAACCACTGACAACTTCTAAACGGTTTCATCTACTCAATTTCACTCACAAAGCTTGGGTCAACCCGTGTTATGATGTTTGGACACTTCCCAAGGGTGCTGCAGTCCAACATTATCATGGTCACCTCCTTGATAAACCAACTATCGTGAGATTTGAACCCAGGTCTCATGGTTGGAACAGTAACTTTTTAATCACTCAGCCACATGCCTAGTATCTTTTAATATATTTATATATATATAATAAAGACATATTTTGGGTATGTAATTCTGATAAGTTAAAATCATTTGTTTGACTATAATTTACTTTCATAATCTGTTTTTCTGTGGCTTTTTATTACAACTTTACTCAATCTGTTGACATCAAAGTTAGAAATAAAAGTTAATCTCTTACCAAGATTTGAACTCTTCTCACTTTTGCTACAGGGAAGCCTGGTGAACATTAACCAGCTACTTTTGTTCTCTTAGAAAAATATCTAGGAATCGTCTCCATTTGCCACAACTCTTGGACACTTGTCAATCAACCCAAGGCAAAGTATAGAGTCTCTTACTAATCAAATAGCATACTTAAAGCTGGAAATTTAAAAGAATGAAATTAAATATGAGACAAATATATTTAAAAACTTGTACAATATGTAGATGTACAGGTGGCATAATGGTTAATTTAATGGAAAATGGAATTGGCAGGCTGAGTTCAAATTCTAGCTGAGATTGCTTTCACTTCACACTAATGACTTTGAAAAATGAAAGAATTCATCTCTTGCCCCAGCTGTGGATTAAATAGCAGAGTAGTTCTGTAGCCTTGGTAGGTAACTAGTCTAGGATAAGGGCAAATCTGATTTCAAAACCATGAAGCATTAAGAAACCACTCCACTACATTTCCCCACAAACAATCATGTTAATGCACAGCTTACAGATATTAAAAAGTGGAAGTTGTGTAGAGATGTGATCACATGTTTCTTGAAGGAACATGGGTTTTTTTTTTTTGGGGGGGGGGTTTAAAAAAAAAGGTTGTGCTGTAAATCTCATATTGATCCTCTCATTTTATATATAATTTGTATTCGATATTAGTAACAAAAGAAGAGACTTGTTCACTTCCTGCAGATATTAATGTTCCCTGATGCTACACAATCCATAACACTATAAATAATGATGTCGTCATTTATTTCTTGAACTTGGATTATTACCTCAGTTTCTTTTATAGAATTTTTTTCAATGGAAAGAAATTCCCAAATGCCATTATCTTTTCTCTTCTTTATCATTTATGTGTGGCTCTTAAGCACTGGACTTTTCCTGCTTCCCACAGAAAAATGTCAAAGTAACTAAAAAGAAAGAGAGGGTAATGGTCAGAATGTCATAGACGGAAGCAGAGGGAATTGTATACACAAAGACCAATGACTAACTTGACCAGTGTCATCTGACTGTTTGTATGCATTGATTCCTGTGTCCAACAAGTGTGTGTTTTGCATCTTTTTAACTGCCACTGCCCATGTCCCACTCTGCTTGTGTGCTATGCTGCTGCTGCTGCTGTCACTTCCATAACCAAGGATGACTCATGCCTTCTTTCACTGCTGCTGCTGTCATTGTCACGATAATGCAACGGATTGTGCCTCAAGAATGGAGTAATTCATATATATTCATATAATACACTCACATATATAGCACTCTGACACTCACATATATAGCACTCTCACACATATGTATATAATACACATGCACATATAATAAACACACACATATAATGTGTGTGTGTATATAGTTCACATTTCTAAAAAGATACGTATGTGCACATAGGTGGGTATTTCTGTTCTTAAAACACAAGTATGTGATTTTCAATGTTCAAAATCACATGCATTTTGTCTCACATGCAATTTATATAACTTCAGCTTATATGCCATAAATACAGTTAAAAAAGAACTGCATGTAAATGTTATTTAAGAGGGAAGTAGAAAGAGGTAAAATAAATTTATGGATAATGTTAGATAATGGCTTGTAAATGAATAATCATAGTACGATTAATAATTTTAGTACTTACTATGTGCTACACAGTTGGTCTACTCCCAGTAGACTCTTTAAATTAGATACCTTGCCATAGAGCACAGGTTAGCAAAATTAGTGAGTTGCTCAACATATGCCATATGTTTGTGGCTTGATATGTGAAGCTTTATCAAATAACTAGTGTGCCCTGTGATGGCTAGTGAGTTAAACTTGCAGATTGTTGTTACCTTACTGGGTACACTCAAACTTGTAGCCTTGAATTGAAACTGAGGAAATACAAGTGCCCTCTGCCTCAAGCAGAAATGTCTGAGTATCTTAATAAATCTGCAGCTTGGCACAGTTAAGTAAATTTGAATCTGAAATTTTCACTGTATAATGTAAAATGAAGTCCATTGACAAGGAAGGATATTGTTGAAAAATATTTGTTAAATAAATGCTTGTCTTTTTTATTGTCATTAGGCTACTGATTTACTTATGTAGTTAATGCATTTACTCATGTAGTTAATGCATTTACTCTTAGGCTCATAGGGTTACCACATATACTGCTGCCATAGTAAAAGTGGTATGTCTTGGGTATGATAGACAGAATACATGCCTCTTCAGTCTGCTTTTGAATTCAGTTTTCCTTCTCCTAGCAAGAGCCCAGTCTGCACTGTTAGTTAACCCCTAAATGGAGGAAGATGGGTTCAGGCCTTTTTTCACAGGTACAAGCTGAATGTTAACTGAGTGAAAATTGAACCCACCATGCTGATTTTGTTTTCTGTGCCAATAACTGTTGTAATTGTTCTATGACAATTTTAAAACCCACAAGGATTTGAAAATTTGGTCAAGTTCTGATCACTGTTACTATATAGTACTAGTCTATAAACCCTACCCCTAGAAAATATGCTAATAGCCTATAAACCCTAACCCTACCCCTAGAAAATATGCTAATAGCCTATAAACCCTAACCCTACCCCTAGAAAATATGCTAATAGCCTATAAACCCTAACCCTACCCCTAGAAAATATGCTAATAGCCTATAAACCCTACCCCTAGAAAATATGCTACTAGTCTATAAACCGTAATCCTTTCCCTAGAAAATATGCTACTAGTCTATAAACCGTAATCCTTCCCCTAGAAAATATGCTACTAGTCTATAAACCGTAATCCTACCCCTAGAAAATATGCTACGAGTCTATAAACCCTAACCCTATACCTAGAAAATATGCTAATAGTCTATAAACCCTAACCCTACCCCTAGAAAATATGCTAATAGCCTATAAACCCTAACCCTAGAAAATATGCTAATAGCCTATAAACCCTAACCCTAGAAAATATGCTAATAGCCTATAAACCCTAACCCTACCCCTAGAAAATATGCTAATAGCCTATAAACCCTAACCCTACCCCTAGAAAATATGCTACTAGTCTATAAACCCTAACCCTACCCCTAGAAAATATGCTAATAGTCTATAAACTCTAACCCTAGAAAATATGCTACTTGTCTATAAATCCTACGCCTAGAAAATATGCTACTAGTCTATAAACCCTACGTCTAGAAAATATGCTACTAATCTATAAACCCTACGCCTAGAAAATATGCTACTAGTCTATAAACCCTACCCCTAGAAAATATCAGTTAATAATGATAGTCATTAAGTTCTGTAAAGAATTATAGTTGCTTTTTATGTATTGGTGGGACATTTTTCTCTCCCCTGTCACAGGAAAAATGGCATTTAAAACACATTGGGTGTAAAGGGTTATTTATATTGAAGAGATCATGAACTTGTATATAGGTATCTCCAAAAAAAAAAAAATACAAAAAAAAAATGCAATGGTTAAGGTTTAAAATGCATTTTAAAAAATGGAAAATCTTTGTTAAAGGTTTTAGATTTTAGATTTATTTCCAAGCTAATAGACTAAATTTAATATTTCCAATAAGCAAAATACTTTATTGGATTTCAAAATGAATTTAAAATGATTGCATTTATTTTAATTTTTCTGATTATTACTAAAATGAAAAAAATTGTCGATAATGACAAATCTGTCTTAATTTTCTTTATAAAAAAAATTGTCAAAAATAGACTTTTCTGAAACATTGAGAAAAGTTAGCTAATTTAAAGTTTAATCAATCTGAATTGAAACATATTACTTAGTTTTATTTTAATATAGCTGAGAAAAGCATTTTTTTAACATGGAGGTGGGTGTGGATATTTGGAAAATTTATGTAAGGAGCAGATAATTGTAATGAAATGATCAATACAATTTAAATGACTTTTCCATATCTTTTTTAGTTACTCGGTAATCTTAAAAATTTAAAATGTTTTAAGCATTTTAATATTTTATTGAATTTTAAGCACTTTAGTTTTATAGTCTCTTACAAAAAGATGTTTGTTGTGGAAATGATAGAAAATTACCAATAAATTTTAAATTTATTGCTTTTATTTTCTGATAATGTTGTGTATGGGCATTCGTATTTGCTAAAATCTGCCTGTTGACACACACACACATATATATATATATATATATATATATATATATATATATATATATACACACACACACACAATTCAATTTTTTTTTTAAATACAGGAGATTACTGAATAATAGTAAGCTTTTCAATTTATGATAAGTAAATACAGTTTTTATTTGATAACAATATTAATACATTATTTTAGGTTTCTAAATTATTCTAATTAAAATTTGGAAAAAAATATAAAACAATTCTTGTAAAAAAAATTCATTATTCATCCCCCCAAAAAATTTTCATAAGACAATAGTGTCCATAATATATGTCATTCATAAAAGCAATTAAAAGCTTTTCTAATTAAGTAATGTCTTATATTTATTTTATGATTCAGAGTAGATTTTCTGTAATTAAGTGGTTGTGTTTGACCAAAGATATTTTGATGATTTAAATTCTTTGAAGACTTGTCTTTATAATTATGAATATTAACTGCTACAAAACAGAACTTGTCTAAATTTCATAAAATCAAATAAGTGGGAGAACAGATATATAAAAAAAAAAAAATTTTTATCAAGATTTTCTTTAAAAAAAAAAAAATTCAATTCGTAAGTCCTGAAAATTTAATTCGTAAGTCCTGAAAATTTAATTCGTAAGTCCTGAAAATTTAATTCGTAAGTCCTGAAAATTTAATTCGTAAGTCCTGAAAATTTAATTCGTAAGTCCTGAAAATTTAATTCGTAAGTCCTGAAAATTTAATTAATGAAAAAAAATTTAATTAAGTCCCTGAAGTCCTGAAAAATTAATTAAATTCGTAAGTCCTGAAAATTTAATTCGTAAGTCCTGAAAATTTAATTCGTAAGTCCTGAAAATTTAATTAAAAGCCAACAATTATCTGATTTTTGCAAGAATTTCCAAGTCAATGTTTTTTTTACCATAAAAAAGATAATTAAATTTTCCGTACAAATTTATGGTCCTGCATTGACATCAGAAAAAACATTTTTTAACCAAAATTTAGAAGGTTCTAAAATGGATTAAAAAAAAAAAAAAAAAAATCTTTTTGTTTCTCCTCTTAATAATAGAGCAAAGATCTTAATGATAAAACTTTATTTTTATTAAGTTTGGGACATTTTCATCATGTATGCTCATTTTTAATAAATCTTTCATGGTCCCTATATATATATATATATATATATATATATATATATATATATATATATCAAAGTATATAATTGGTATATACGGAATGAATTCCAATAACCAACAATTACTATTCTTAAGAGTGCTCAATACAAAGTAGAGCAGATATTATTATTTGTTATAATTTTTTATAAAAAAATTATATATATATATATATATATATATATATATATATATATATATATATATATATACACATACACACACCCAAAAAAATTGCTTGTTCAAAAGTAATTTGGGACAAAACCCAATGAAATAATAGATTTATTATCATAATTGCTTTGTTTACTCATACTGTATAGCAGTCCTACAAATAAATTCAAAATGATATTTGATCAGAGTCAGTTAAATTTGGAAAACACATCCATTTTTTTTTTTTTTTTTTTTTTTTTTAAAGAATTTCCTGTAAGGATTTGTTTTGGCATCAGTGGCTTGTAATCCAGGAGCTTCTTAAGTGATTACAATTAACTGTGAGCCCCCCCACCCCCACCCCAATATGTGGGTCAAACATGTTTGCAGGTTTACAATGAAGATGTAGTTTCTCTTAAATAGTTTCAACAACCACATTGCTTAGAGCTCCATTATCAGATAATGACTAAAGTAGACTGGGATCTTTTTGTAAATATGAAACAGATCACTCAACAGAAGTTGCATAATGAAGGTTTTTCTGACTGCACTGATGACAAGATCTCTTTCTGTCTGCTTCAATGAATTTTCTTTACTTGGTTCATTATAGGAATAGGTTTAGATTTTTAAGTTCAAATGAAAAAAATTCTTTGTTGTTACCATGAATTTTTCTTTAATAAAAACAAAGATAAAATGTAAAAAACCTGCTCATTACAGAAAAAAAAAATCATTAAAATTCTCTGTATAACAAGAGTTCTTTCTTACATATTTTATTATTTTTGCTCTTTTTTCATCCTTTTCTTCTAACACCAGTTCTTTTTTTTTTTTTTTTTTGTACATTCCTGTATCTATCCATCTTATGCTATTTCACTCTCTCTCTCTGAATGGACATGTCTCCGTATCTCTCTCTCTCTCTCTGAACCGTCATGTCCCTGTCTCTCTCTCTCTGAACCGTCATGTCTCTCTCTCTCTCTCTCTCTGAACCGTCATGTCTCTGTCTCTCTCTCTCTCTCTCTCTCTGAACCGTCATGTCTCCGTCTCTCTCTCTCTCTCTCTCTGAACCGTCGTGTCTCTGTCTCTCTCTCTCTCTCTCTCTGAACCGTCGTGTCTCTGTCTCTTTCTCTCTCTGAACCGTCGTGTCTCTGTCTCTCTCTCTCTCTCTCTGAACGTCGTGTCTCCTCTCTCTCTCTCTCTCTCTCTCTCTCTGAACACGTCGTCTCTCCTCTCTCTGTCTCTCTCTCTCTCTGAACCGTCGTGTCTCCGTCTCTCTCTCTCTGAGCCGTCGTGTCTCCGTCTCTCTCTCTGAGCCTTCGTGTCTCCGTCTCTCTCTCTGAGCCTTCGTGTCTCCGTCTCTCTCTCTGAGCCTTGAGTCTCTCTCTCTGAGCCTTCGTGTCTCCGTCTCTCTCTCTGAGCCTTCGTGTCTCCGTCTCTCTCTCTCTGTAGCCTTCGTGTCTCCGTCTCTCTCTCTCTGAGCCTTCGTGTCTCCGTCTCTCTCTCTCTCTCTGAGCCCCTTCGTGTCTCCGTCTCTCTCTCTCTCTGAACTGAGCCTTCTCTCTCCTGTGTGTCTCTCTCTCTCTCTCTCTGAGCCTTCGTGTCTCCGTCTCTCTCTCTCTCTCTCTCTTCGTGTCTCCGTCTCTCTCTCTCTCTCTGAACCGTCGTGTCTCTGTCTCTCTCTCTCTCTCTCTGAACCCGTCGTGTCTCCGTCTCTCTCTCTCTCTCTCTCTCTCTGAACCGTCGTGTCTCCTCTCTCTCTCTCTCTCTCTGAACAAGTCGTGTCTCCGTCTCTCTCTCTCTCTGAACCGTGGTCTCCCCTCTCTCTCTCTCTCTCTCTCTCTCTCTCTGAACCGTCGTGTCCCCGTCTCTCTCTCTCTCTCTCTGAACCGTCTCTGTCCCCATCTCTCTCTCTCTCTCTCTGAACCGTCGTGTCTCCCCGTCTCTCTCTCTCTCTCTCTGAACCCGTCGTGTCCCCCGTCTCTCTCTCTCTCTGAACCGTCGTGTCCCCGTCTCTCACTCTCTCTCTCTGAACCGTCGTGTCCCCGTCTCTCTCTCTCTCTCTGAACCGTCGTGTCCCTGTCTCTCTCTCTCTGAACCGTCGTGTCTCCGTCTCTCTCTCTCTCTCTCTGAACCGTCGTGTCTCCATCTCTCTCTCTGAACGCACGTGTCTCCGTCTCTCTCTCTCTCTCTCTGAACGCACATGTCTCCGTCTCTCTATCTCTCTCTGAATGCACGTGTCTCCGTCTCTCTCTCTCTGAACCGTCATGTCTCCGTCTCTCTCTCTCTCTCCGTCGCTCTCTCTGAACCGTCATGTCTCCTCTCTCTCTCTCTCTGAACCGTCGTGTCTCCTCTCTCTCTCTCTCTCTCTCTCTGAACCGTCGTGTCTCCGTCTCCGTCTCTCTCTCTCTCTCTCTGAACCGTCGTGTCTCCGTCTCTCTCTCTCTCTCTCTGAACCGTCGTGTCTCCTCTTTCTGTTCCGTCTCCGTGTCTCTCTCTCTCTCTCTCTCTCTGAACCGTCGTGTCCCCGTCTCTCTCTCTCTCTCTGAACCATCGTGTCTCCGTCTCTCTCTCTCTGAACCGTCGTGTCTCCGTCTCTCTCTCTCTCTGAACCGTCGTGTCTCCGTCTCTCTCTCTCTCTCTGAACCGTCGTGTCTCCGTCTCTCTCTCTCTCTCTCTCTGAACCGTCGTGTCTCCGTCTCTCTCTCTCTCTCTCTCCGTGAACCGTCGTGTCTCCGTCTCTCTCTCTCTCTCTGAACCGTCGTCGTGTCTCCGTCTCTCTCTCTCTCTGAACCGTCGTGTCTCCTCCGTCTCTCTCTCTCTCTCTGAACCGTCGTCTCGTCTCCTCTCTGAACCATCTCTCTCTCTCTCTCCTGAACCATCGTGTCTCCGTCTCTCTCTCTCTCTCTGAACCGTCATGTCTCCGTCTCTCTCTCTCTCTCTCTCTCTCTCCTGTCTCTCTCTCTCTCTCTCTCTCTCTCTGAACCGTCATGTCTCCGTCTCTCTCTCTCTGAACCGTCGTGTCTCCGTCTCTCTCTCTCTGAACCGTCGTGTCTCCGTCTCTCTCTCTCTCTCTCTCGTGAACCGTCGTGTCTCCGTCTCTCTCTCTCTCTCTCTCTCTGAACCGTCGTGTCTCCGTCTCTCTCTCTCTCTCTCTCTCTGAACCGTCGTGTCTCCGTCTCTCTCTCTCTCTCTCTCTCTGAACCGTCGTGTCTCCGTCTCTCTCTCTCTCCCTCTCTCTCTCTGAACCGTCGTGTCTCCGTCTCTCTCTCTCTCTGAACCGTCGTGTCTCCGTCTCTCTCTCTCTCTCTGAACCGTCGTGTCTCCGTCTTTCTCTCTCTCTGAACCGTCGTGTCTCCGTCTTTCTCTCTCTCTGAACCGTCGTGTCTCCGTCTTTCTCTCTCTCTCTGAACCGTCGTGTCTCCGTCTTTCTCTCTCTCTCTGAACCGTCGTGTCTCCGTCTCTCTCTCTGAACCGTCGTGTCTCCGTCTCTCTCTCTGAACCGTCGTGTCTCCGTCTCTCTCTCTGAACCGTCGTGTCTCCGTCTCTCTCTCTGAACCGTCATGTCTCCGTCTCTCTCTGAACCGTCGTGTCTCCGTCTCTCTCTCTCTGAACCCGTCGTGTCTCCGTCTCTCTCTCTGAACCGTCGTGTCTCTCTCTCTCTCTCTCTCTCTCTCTGAACCGTCGTGTCTCCTCTCTCTCTCTCTGAGCCTTCGTGTCTCCGTCTCTCTCTCTCTCTCTCTGAACCTTCGTGTCTCTCCGTCTCTCTCTCTCTCTGAACCTTCGTGTCTCCGTCTCTCTCTCTCTCTCTGAACCGTCGTGTCTCCGTCTCTCTCTCTCTGTCTCCTCTCTCTCTCTCTGAGCCTTGTCTCCGTCTCTCTCTCTCTCTCTGAGCCTTCGTGTCTCCGTCTCTCTCTCTCTGAACCGTCGTGTCTCCCGTCTCTCTCTCTCTCTCTGAACCGTCGTGTCTCCGTCTCTCTCTCTCTCTCTCTGAACCGTCGTGTCTCCGTCTCTCTCTCTCTCTGAACCGTCGTGTCTCCGTCTCTCTCTCTCTCTCTGAACCGTCGTGTCTCCGTCTCTCTCTCTCTCTCTCTGAACCGTCGTGTCTCCGTCTCTCTCTCTCTCTCTCTCTCTCTCTGACCGTCGTGTCTCCGTCTCTCTCTCTCTCTCTCTGAACCGTCGTGTCTCTCTCTCTCTCTCTCTCTGAACCGTCATGTCTCCGTCTCTCTCTCTCTCTCTCTGAACCGTCGTGTCTCCGTCTCTCTCTCTCTCTCTCTGAACCGTCGTGTCTCCGTCTCTCTCTCTCTCTCTCTGAACCGTCGTGTCTCCGTCTCTCTCTCTCTCTCTGAACCGTCGTGTCACCGTCTCTCTCTCTCTCTCTCTGAACCGTCGTGTCTCCGTCTCTCTCTCTCTCTCTCTCTGAACCGTCGTGTCTCCGTCTCTCTCTCTCTGAACCGTCGTGTCTCCGTCTCTCTCTCTCTCTCTCTCTGAACCGTCGTGTCCCCGTCTCTCTCTCTCTCTCTCTGAACCGTCGTGTCTCCGTCTCTCTCTCTGAACCGTCGTGTCTCCGTCTCTCTCTCTCTGAACCGTCGTGTCTCCGTCTCTCTCTCTCTGAACCGTCATGTCTCCGTCTCTCTCTCTCTGAACCGTCATGTCTCCGTCTCTCTCTCTCTCTCTCTCTGAACCGTCGTGTCTCCGTCTCTCTCTCTCTGAACCGTCGTGTCTCCGTCTCTCTCTCTCTCTCTCTAGACCGTCGTGTCTCCGTCTCTCTCTCTCTGAACCGTCGTGTCTCCGTCTCTCTCTCTCTCTCTGAACCGTCGTGTCTCCGTTTCTCTCTCTCTCTCTCTCTCTGAACCACCGTCGTGTCTCCGTCTCTCTCTCTCTCTCTCTGAACCGTCGTGTCTCCGTCTCTCTCTCTCTCTCTCTCTCTGAACGCACATGTCTCCTCTCTCTCTCTCTCTCTCTCGCTGAACACGTGTCTCCGTCTCTCTCTCTCTCTCTGAGCTCGTGTCTCCGTCTCTCTCTCTCTCTTTCTACTATCATGTCTCCGTCTCTCTCTCTCTCGCTCTTTCTACTCTCTCCGTCTCTCCCTCTCTCTCTCTTTCTACTGTCTCCGTCTCTCCCTCTCTCTCTCTCTCGCACATGTCTCCGTCTCTCTCTCTCTCTCTCTTCTACTGTCTCCGTCTCTCCCTCTCTCTCTCTCTTTCTACTGTCTCCCTCTCTCTCCTCTTTCTCTCTCTTTCTCTCTCTCTCTTTCTACTCTCCGTCTCTCTCTCTCTTTCTACTGTCTCCGTCTCTCTCTCTTTCTACTGTCGTGTCTCCGTCTCTCTCTCTCTTTCTGCTGTCTTTCTCCCTCTCTCTCTTTCTCTCGATCTAAATCTCTCTCTCTCTCTCTCTCTTTCTGTCTCTCTCGAACTCTCTCTTTCTACTATGGTCTCTCTCTCTCTCTCTCTACTGTCGTGTCTCCGTCTCTCTCTCTCTTTCTATGAACTTTCTCCGTCTCTCTCTCTCTTTTCCATTGTCGTGTCTCTCTCTCTCTCTCTTTCTACTTTCGTGTCTCCGTCTCTCTCTCTCTTTCTACTCCGTCTCTCTCTCTTTTAAAATAATAGATCTCTCTCTCTCTCTTTCTACTATGTCTCTCTCTCTCCTCTCCTACTGTCTCGTCTCTCTCTCTTTCTACTGTCGTGTCTCCGTCTCTCTCTCTCTTTCTACTGTCGTGTCTCCGTCTCTCTCTCTCTTTCTACTGTCGTGTCTCTCTCTCTCTCTTTCTACTGTCGTGTCTCTCTCTCTCTCTTTCTCTCTGTCTCTTCTCTCTTAGAATTTAAACCCTCTCTGTCTCCGTCTCTCTCTCTCTCTTTTTACCGTCGTGTCTCCCGTCTCTCTCTCTCCTTCTATTTCTCTTTCTTTGACGTGTCTCCGTCTCTCTCTCTCCTTCTACCGTCGTGTCTCCGTCTCTCTCTCCTTCTTCTTCTCCGTGTCTCCATCCCGTCTCTCTCTCTCCTTCTACCGTCGTCCGTCTCTCTCTCTCCTTCTCTCCATTTCTCCATCTCTCTCTCCTTCTCTCTCTCCCGTCTCTCTCCATCTCTCTCTCTCCATCTCTCTACCGACATGTCTCCCATCTCTCTCTCCATCTCTCAACTGATGCCTCCACGTCAGTCTTTCTCTCTCTGTTTCTCACCTGGTTCTTTCTTGTCTGCCTGTTTTTCTGTCTTTATCCAATTATTTGCCTGCCTTCTCTCTCTTTCTCTCCCACTTGATGCTTCGTGATCCTTCTCTCTTCCTTTCTAGATGCTTCCCTAACCGTTTCTGTCTGCCAATACTTATTCTTTCTCTCTCTCTCTCGCTTCTGTTCATCATTCTCCTTCCCAATATACTCTCTTTTTCTTTTTCCTTCCCTGATTGTTTTTATATTCACTCTCTTATGTCAATTCAAACCAAATGCTTCTGCATGTTTTCCTTTCATAATCTAACTTTCTCCTTCTCTCCCTCCACTCCATTTTCTCAAATTCTGCCTTTATTTCATCCCATTAAATACTTTCCATGCACCAAAGCCATTTGATTTTGCCCTTTCCCAAAATGATTAGCTGCCATTTTTGCTATCAAACCGAATATCACCTATATCTACCCTTTCTTCTCTCTCTCTCCCATTTTCTTTCTCTCACTACTCTCACTCTCCCCATTTTATTTCTCTGATTCCTTGCTACTTTTCACCATGTTTCTCTCACTTTATCCATCCCTCTTGTCCTCATCTGTCTTTTGTGTCTCTCTTCACCCTCTCTGTAACTTGATTATTTTCTTTCTTTTTGATCTCACCTCATTCTCTTTTGTGATTATATTTCTTTGTTTCTTCCTGTTTGGTTCTTTTTAAAAGGTGAATATTTTGATGGTGTGTTTACAGGGGCCACACCAGGAATGGTTTATACCATCAAGCCTTCCAACTTACTGAGAACTTACTGATCGTATTTGTCCTTCCGACCCATCTCACCAGCTTGCATTCTTCATTCAATCATTCCCACCATTTCTCTTTGATTCTTGACAGAATATTCAATCGTGAAATCAATAATCGGCCAAGAGGAATATCATTGGTGGCCAGGCACTCATCAGAGACATGAGGAAGGGTCATGAAGTAGAAAATGATCACTGCAGTTTGTTCCTCTTGTCTTTCAGTTTGTCAGCGTTGTTTTTTTTTTTTTTTTTTTTTTTTTTTTTAGGAACAGGGCAAAGAATTGTGGTTCTGATATCCACAAAGATATCTTGCCTGACAAATTCAGTTTCTATCAGCTGAATAGAAAAGCCTTTCTGTTACTCAATGGAAAATGCAATGTCTCTTATTGTGGCTAGCAATATTTAGAAAAACAAAACTTTTTTGTAAAATGATATATTCACATGCATGCATGCATACATACATACATGTGTGTGTTTGTGTGTGTGTATGCTTTGTAAATTAATTGATTGACTGATTTGTTTTTTTGCAGAAAATATTTTTAGTTTGTAAGAAGTTTTGGCAATAATGATTTTCTGATACAAGTCTTACTAATTAACCCATAGCTGGGAGGGGAGAAGAGGTGAATTTTGAGCATGTGAATATAACCGACATGACTGGAATTGGAACTCAGTTCTCTGATTTCCAATTCTGAGCCATTATCCATTACAGCAGATGCACGTGCAAGCTTACAGCACTTGGTATTTCTGAATGACCACCCATATAGATACTGACCAGGCTCATCGTCATGCACCATAAAATAAGAAAGATCATGTTAGAGTGCTTATACAAATGCTGTTATAATGTCTAATTCCAGGCATATCACAATACTTGACCAAGAAGAGTATAGCTAAAGGAACACTTGGACAAACCACTTCCCCATAAATACTGGCACAGGCAATAAAAGAAGGAAGACCAGAACTTTTTAGAACCTCCTTGTACATTATGCAGATATAACACTTTTAGCTTGTTTTAGTACTTGAATTCTCCACTTCAAGTGGTCATTAGGTTTGATCAAAAAGTATTGGGCCTAGTGCTATAAAAAGAATACTACAAGACACATTTGGAATTTAATCTCTTTTGAAGCAGTCCCCTTCTGAAACCACACAATTTATCCAGTGTTGCTTTCATTGATGGAAGCATTCTTGGAACTCTTTTATTTGGGATATCGAACAACTACCTGTTTTCTTAAAATCTTGTTCTTTTCAAGTAGGATTTTATTTTTGAAGAGGAAAACGTCACAAGGGGCAAGATCTGGGGAATATGATGTTTGTCAAAACTGGGGAATGTTGTTCTTAGCCATAAACTGCTGCACAAAACATGGTCACTGATAAAAGTACCTGAGAAGACCACATTCTACATACTTTTCTTCTAAGAACTGGCATAAAAAACAAAAGTGAGCGAGAACATTATTACTTAGTGTTTATGTGCAACAGAGTTCAAGGTAAATCTGTGCTAAGTGGCTTCAATCTTTGTACTTTAGTTTCAGTACCATAGCAACAGTTCCAGATACTTTAATTTTTTTATCAGATCTTGTATTGCTTGTCAGTGTAACAATGTATTAATACTGGGAATATAGTTTTGCCATTATGGGTAATATCAGGTACTGACATTTTTGGACATCTATATTTCAACTGCTTAATGTGCTGATTGTAAATTTAAATATAGATAAGGAAATCTAACTGGTAGTCATTTGTCCTTTGAACTGAGTTAAAAAGTAACAAATGCAAGCTGGAAACATGGATTTTTCCATTATATTTTAAGTAAAATGTTGCGAATGCTTTTTCAAAATCCAATCATGAAATAAACAATTTTTTTATCTAATTCTATATTTCTATAATATCTTTATTTCTGGAAGATTTTTTTCATTACAGTTTCAATTTTTGTCATGAATTGTTACATAATTAAAGTTCATTGGAATGAAAAAGTTGACATTTAAAAAACAAACTAAAATCCAACTTTAGTTATGCAAAAATAATTTTTTTACAACTTTGTTACTTTCTTGTAATTAAAACCAAAACTTAAAAAAGATATATAAAAAAACAAGCCTGTGATCATTGCTATAATTATTAATGTTTACAGACTGCAAGAGGGAGAAATGATTAAGTATACTTTAATGTTTAAAAAAATTTATTCATTATTTTTATTGTTTAGGTAATAAGCATTATAACATTGCACAAATATCTATATTGTGGGAAAAGGAATTTTCGACAATATACACATTTTTTATGATTTTATGATTATTTATTAACTTTATAAAAAACGACATTCTTGTACATATAGTTATGGATATTATACATTAATTATTAATTTTTTTAATTAATAACTATTTGTGCTCAGTTGTTGACATTAATAGCTATTTGCTGATGTGTTAAAATTTGGAATAATGCAATAATAAAAATTTAAATTTCATCTCTGATAGATGTTGCGATCTGTTAATATACTAATCCATGATTATGATTATCTTCCCTTGTGGCTGGTCAAAAGCCTCAAGAGAAAATAATCATTTCGTAACAGGAACAGAATATATATATTTTTTTTTTTTTTAAATCAGTTCACCTGAAGTAATGCAATAGATACAAGAGGTAACAGGGAGTGAAATAGAATGAAACTGATTTTACAATGAGCCAGAAACCCAATCCTGGCTCAACTGGAATCAAAAGATAAACTTCTACACCTGTTCAAAAGACAATAGAGAATAGGCAAACATATCTACTCCTATTGAGGAAAAAAAAATAGTAAATACACAAGCACACACAAAAAAAAAAAAAATTGTAGAATGCCATGACCCCAAGAACAATCTTGGCAAAGATGGTTATTTCCTGTTTCCTTCTCCACAGTTTAGAATTTTAACATATTACTTGGGAGAGAAAAGATGGATGTGTGCCTTTCTTAAGAACGTTCATATGAAGTTAAGTCATACTGACTGACTGATTTTCTACAGTTTATCAACCCATTGCAGGTTATTTGAAGCTAGAAAATATTTTTAGATTTTTTTTTTTTTTTTGTAGGATAATAATAATTTAGTAATAGAAATTTTACTAATTAACCCATAGCTGAGTAGGGGAAAATAGGTGCATTCATACCTTTCCCCAAGGGTATTTGCATGTAAGTGAATATAATGAACAAAACTGGAATTGGAACTCTGCTCACTGATTAACAATTTTGAGCCATTATCCATTACACCACCTATACATCCAAGTTTACAGCATCTGGTATCCCTAAGGGGTCACCCATCTAGATCATAACCAACAAACTGTTTTCAGCTGGAATTTGAAGTCAGCTTGCTGATTGCATTAGTTTACTTGTTCCTCCATAATATTATCAAGATATAACAGACTAGCAGTAGAGCCCGGCGTTGCCCAGGGATGTAACAGTAAGAGATAGATCAAGTATCGATCATCATAAAGACTGAAAAATAAAATTGACAAAGGTTATTGTTTAAGGTTGATGGACACACATGTCTTAATTAGTTTTTTTTTTTTTTTTTTTTTTTTTTACGAATTGGTCAAACCCAAACTCAAACAAAAACATTGTTTTCAATCGTTATGAGTCTACCGATTGAATAGAATTTTATTATAAACAATTGTCTTGTAAATGGAATTTTTAAAGCATTCTGAATGTAAAAATAAAGCAAAAAGTGTGCAAGACAATAAGAAACACTACCTGCCAAAAAAAAGTGAAGTTTTGTTGAAATCGGTTGAAAAATGTAGGAAATCCGATCCCATATATAAAGGAACACACACACACAAACAACCTGGGTTTTATAATAAGTATAACTCGATATGAGTTGTCCCCCTTTCATTCTGGCGACAAAATCGTGTTTTATCGTGTTTTCAAATTGATTTTGTGCAAAAACAATTGTTTTTCCAATTTTTGGCACTGTCAGAACCACCACAAGGTAATTTTACGCAGTCCTGTGAAATTTTGTTGAAATCAGTTGAAAAATATAGGAAATCCGATCAAATATATAAACGTACATACATACATACACACACACACACACACACACACACAATCTGCGTTTTATAATAAGTAAGATACTAAGAAATGATTCACTAAAACATTGGTATTGTTAAAATATACTGAATACTACATTCTCTTCAGGAAAACTGAAAAACAGTCCTGTTGAAATATTGTTTTTTAAGTAATGAACACATTAGCACACATAATATATTGAAAAACTTCTTTTGAAAAAAAATATTTTCTTTGATGTGCAAGTATATTAGTAAAATATATAATCATTAATATTGTGAGCTATCATAATATATATGATATATAGGGCTTTGTAAGATGCTAAAATGAAGAAAATAGATGGGGATGTTTATAAAAACAAGATTATTATGATGGTTGACTGTACAGAAGATAATGGTAACTTAGTCAAAGATCAGCCAAAGTGCTCCAGTGTTGCTCACTATGTTTTTTTGGGGTGGGTGGGGTCTTGAGTTCTCACCACTGAAGGTTAGTGAACATGGATTTGCCATTTAACTCCTGATCAGTTGACCAGTTGAGTAGGCTGCTTTAAAAACTGCTGATTTTCCTGACAGGTCGAAGAGTAAATTTCCCCTGACTTGCTGTGAATGATTGCAGTGAACCTTATGGCTTTTTGAGAACTTCTATTTTTCCTTTGACTTAACCAAAGCGAAGATGAAATGAAAGATTTTTAATAACTGGTAAAATGTTGTTATAAAGTTTCCTTGTTCTTTGATTGTTTCTGCATGAATTGTCAGTATTACTTTTAGATCATTTTCTATGAAGCTTTATTGAAGTAATTCATACTTCAGTTTATACAGAAATCATTTCACTCTCAACTGGTTAAGTGTATTTCTTTTGTGTGCATTAAATGTGGCATTTGTTAGTCCCAAGAGACTCTGTGGTACTGTGTC